ACGTAAATTAATTAGGTCTCTTGCCCCGGAGGGTCCAGAAAAAGGCAGTAAACCAGAAATTTAAATCGTTCTCCATGTGTGTCAAGTTGAGGTGCCTGAAAGCAGCATATCCATTTCTTCTAGCTCAGTTTTCTTGACCTTTCAGTTCTTTCTTGGCATCTTCTGAATCGTTAAAAATAAAATCCTTATGAGGGCACTGGCAAGTGGTTAAGCAAAGCTCATTATGGCAGCTTTCTACGTTTAGCTATTAAAGCGATAAAAGTCAGGATTGAAATGGGAGAGGATAATTGTATGCTTTAGGAAAAGTGGCTGTCCAGTGACTGTCCTGGGAAGCCCAGTGAGCTAAGCTGTTTCCCTCCAAAGCAAGGAACCATGCAGGCAGGCCTCCCCGGCACACCGCTGTTACACTCCTGAACGCAGTAACCCTGCAGCCGGTGAGCCCTCCTGCTAAAAGTGTATTACCCAAATCTTAAAAGAGAGTCTGCAGTTCACCATGGGTGAGATTCTGCTGCCCTGACTCAGGGTGGGAGCATGGTTGTGTTCCTTGAAGGGTACGATGCTGTTCAGCCTTGGGAGTACATGGGAGTAGCAGAAACTGGGCACTTGAATTAGTTAAAATAATTGTGGTCTTCTGAAAATTCCCAGAAATATTCAGATTGTTGTTTGAGTTGTTTTTTAATGAGTGCTATATATTGAATGGACATTAATGCAGAAGATTTCGTCTGCAGTATCTCTGTCTCATTTGATAGCTTTCAGGATTATTGTATTTAAAGACAGTATGTATACCATTTCACAACACTGTTGTCAATCTTTTAAATGTATTGAAGATGATTATGAAGTGAAATCTACCTCTGTGGCTTTTGTGACATTATCTTCTTCAAATGAATTGAACGCCACCTTTGCTTCATTGCTTCCAGCCCTGCTGTATTTCTGTTCTCTGAAACCTCGCTGTTAGCATTCTGAATGTGTTGATTCTGCCATTACCCGTCACTTTCCATTACGGTTTTCTCAAGGTGAAATCTCTCTGCTAATTCAAAAAGCTACCTGTCTTCGTTATGTATAAATTACTTTGCCCAAAGACTAAAAAACCTAACTGTAAGATAAAGTTGAGGCCTAAACACATTTTATGCCAGAATCGTAAATGCAAGGGGGAGTAGGGGTAAGGAAGGAAGCGTAACCGTTTAACTTTTTCCTTCTGGGGTTTCTGTTGGAGGGATTGAAGGGTGTTTTCCAGGAAGGTACAAGTCTAATGAGCTGAGAACTTTTTCCTTAAATAATTGTTTTCCTGGATCTCAGCATTTTTTTAAAAACAGCATCAGCATGCTTTATATAACCATGTCTCCAAATGAACATAGCAATGGGGAAAAATATCCTATTCTTAACTTTCTTGGAAGGATACCAGGGAGTAATTCTGGCACAGCTAACATTTTTCGTATTCATTAAATATGTTTGCTCAGTAAGCCAGACATTTTATATTATGTGTACTACACTAGTATATTAGAATTACTCTCAAGTCTTTCTCCCCATTTCATGAATTACTTCATGAATTACCAGCTTGATCAGCAAGACAGTAATAATGAATGCATCTGTTTACTTGTAGAACAACTATCAACTATTTTTTTAATTCGAGAGTGCCACTGTTAATTGAAGGGTGCCCTTGGTATTCTGTGTGTTCAATAGAACCTTCCTTACTGTTTGTTATTACTAACAGACTTAGAGAAAGTTGGACCAGTGTAGAGTTCAGGTCTGTTGGATGCTGATGCTGCCTTACGGGCAGTTATCATGGCTGTGAATACTTTATTTTTAATGACATACCATTTGGTCCAGCTCAGGAAGGTTTTACATTTTGCTTATTAAGTAAATTTAAGGTCCCAATTTCTGATAGCTACAGAAATACAAACTAAAATCAAATCTCCGCATTTAATGATCTCAGTAATTATAATAAAGTCACAGCCATATAATCTTGCTTTCCATTAGCAAAAAATAATCAAATAACCAGTGTAAGTGAATTCATTACTGAATCTACAGTATAGGAAACAACAAGGCAGAGGTATCCTGAGTGGTTGCGTTTCTCATTTTCTTTACCAGTTTACTATATGGGAATTTTCCTGAATGAATATCTCTTAGGTGGTGACCATGTAAGGTGGTGATAACCTTAGATGCGTAGTGGATTTGGAAGCGAGAACCATATCCATATAAGGAGAACAAGCAGGGAGGGGATAAAGGGCGTATGGAAGTACTGGAAATGGATTTACTATTTTAGCATTGTACCAAGTGTTGTCCCTTACACTTAAATAGAATTTCATTTATAGTATCAGCTGAATGGCTGTGATTTCACTAGTTGGGCATCGGATTCTACCTGTGGAGTCTTTCCAACCTCTGCTCTGTTCTTTTCTTTTTAAAACTCAGGGCAGGTATAGGCTGCTTTAGTTTATTTTTCTAGCTATCAGAAATGTATTCAGAAGTGGAAAAAAATGGACAATTCCCAGTGTTTCTTGATAATAGAAGCTTTGCACAGGAGTGTTCATCTTTCATGATATTCATAAAATGCGTGGAGCAGATTTTATCTGCAAGTGCTCATGGGTCTCAAGGACACAAATTCATATACTGTCTGTATATCGATACATTTTACAATTTAAACATGAATATTTGACTATGCTGATCAAGTGTAGAACTCTAGGTATTTATTAGTTTATTTAAGCCAAAGGAACACATGGAATTAATGCCTTCACTATTTTTTTCATTGATGATTGTTTTCCATATTAGTGTAGATACTTATCTTCTGTAAGAACGGAGGAAGGGACAGTGGCGCTTACCAAAGAAGCAGCAACAAAGAGAGAGGGAAGTCACGCCTTTCTAGGATGCAAGATAACTTCAGCCTCTTTGCTGCCCTCCAAAGCAGTAGTGTCCTCTTCCTCTCAGTTTTAGCAGTTTGTATCAGTCCTCTGGTACTGACACTGATCCTTCCTTCAGTATGGGTGTTTGCGTGGCTGGGCACATGCTGTTGGAAAATGAGCTGGATTAAAACTAGCTCAGGAAAAAAACAGTAAAAACAGTTAGTTGGGAAAGGGTGGCTGAGACAAATGGAAGGATTGCTTCAGCCTCCATTTGTACTCGTGTCTGTGAGCTTCACATGTTTATAGACGAGTGTATATTTTTGGTGGCAATATATTCTTGCTGTGCAACTTGAAGTACCACAGTGGTGAAAACGAAGACAATGTATTAAAATACATCACTGATTTGCTGTGTGATCTTAAGCAAGTCTAGCTACCTCACGCATCAGCTTCAAACTGGATATTACTGGCAACCATCTCTTACATTTGCAATTTTTTTTTCCCCAGAAAATAAATTTTTACTTCCATTTCTCCTGTCCCGAAACCCTGAAGTTCTGTAGGACTCCAGATAGGTTTTGTGCAGTCTGCTAATGTTAGCTCATTTTTACTTTAAAAGCACTGTAGCCTCACCTGGTATGTTGGGTGCTGTTGAGGCTTTAAATTGCCAAATTCCCATTGACAAACTGGGTGACCTACCTTTGGACATAGGTTGCAACAGTCAATAAAAAAGCAGTGAAATACCTGGTAGAGGACAGTGGGGTCACTGGTTATATATAGGAAGAGTTGCTCCAAAAATAGAGTAGTATTTGGAGGTGAGTATCCCTAGACTATTTCAGGGCTATTGAAAGAGATCTCTTTTTTTCTTCTTCTTTTTTTATCTCCCAGAGATGGAAGAATATTGCTGAATAAGGAATGTCTGATCCCATTTACTTCCTAGCTGCCAAATCATGAGTACTTGGAATCAGTTTAAGTGTCCTTCAGTGTGTATAGTTTATTGCACAGACCCATTAATTCATTTCGTTTTCCATTGTGTAATTTTGTATAATGGTTGTAATACAGCAACAAAGCTGGATCTTCAGAGATTCATTGTTCTGTAACAGTTCTGAAAATAAAGAGCCCGGTATATATAACTATTAACTTAAAAGCTATATCTTCCTACATGTGTGCAATGAAAAATAGTGTCTGAATAATCAATATCATTCCAGTATTTGGTTCATGTCTGAATGTAATTTTACAGAATTTTGATCTATCTTGTCTAAAGTACCTCTTGTATGTTTTCTGACTCATTTCTGCTTAACGTATGCAGTAGGGCATTTTGAAATGGAGGTGAGTGAAACTGATATAACCCATAAAAATAGATGAATGGTGTTAAGCCATTTGATTCAGGCATGTAATCACAAGCTGTGGTATTCCTTCAGCCTTCACATCGTTCTTTCACGTAAACATGCTACCACGTGGTTGGATTCAGTAAACACTTCCCCAGTGTGTTTCCCTAACCATGAAGACAGTCGATACTGCGTTCTAGCAGACCAGTTTTTCCCGGGCTCTGTATAGCTTCAGGAGCCTGTTGGCATTTTTGCTAACCATAACCTCTGGGCTACTGGAGATACTCCTTTCACCTGTAGCTACCAGAAGCTGTGCTACCTCCAGCTGCAGGTGTCCAGGAACCTGCAGATCACTTCCAGCCCAATCATTCCCGTGCTGTGCTCCCCTAAGCAATTGCTGCAGGTGCAGCGCTGATAGTACAAGTTCTTGAGACAACACGTGCACTGTCTTATGTCTCCAATTATTGAGGAAAAAAAATTACTAACCTCTTTAATAGAAAGATGGAAATTTTGAAATTGTTTGTTCCATTCCATAGGACCCATGTTGTCATTTAGCTCTCACTAGGCTGAAAACAAAGCCAAAGGCTGCTTTACACGTTCCCACTCTGCTTTATTGTGTTTGAGATGGAAGAGTAATTGTGCTTGGCAAGGGTGACTGGATTACAGCTGCCTTTGACTTCCAGGGTCTTTTAGTGCCATCATGGTGCCTAAACATGTGCAGAACATTATGACACAATGGGGAAAATGGGATTTGATTTCTTTGAAATGAGAAAAAAATTGTGATTCTTTCCCTTTGAGGACAATTGCCAAAAAAACAAATCAACTGTATTTTATTTTTAAGACTTGGAAGGTTTTGACTCTGTAATACCAATTGCTGAGAAGCTTAATCATCCAACTACAACCAGACCAAAAGCTACTGGCAGGCGACCACCCTCCCAGTCTCTCACATCTGTAAGTTAATTTTCCTTTTCTTTTCTTTTCTTTTTTTTTTTTTCTGATTTTTTCCCCCTCCTATTTGTGTTCCCTGGTGTTTTTACTACATTTACACAGCAATTCTTTCACACGTACAGTGAGGTAGAGAGAGGCAGCTCAGGAAAATTAGTGTCAAAAGGCTGCCAGTGTTTTGAATACTGATGTTTAAAACATTCCCTCCCTTGCAAGATTTGTACCCCTTATTTGGGTGCTGCCAGGTATTCCTTGCCAACCATTACTGAGGCAAGAAGAATCCTTTATAAAAAAGCCTTTGGAATAAACCTGTTTGTACTAAGTATTAAGGATTTTGAAAGTCTTTCCCAAAAGAAGAATTTCCCTTGGTTTCTCTAGGACACTCTACCAGATTTTGAGGACAAACACACCGTTGTCAGCCTTCAACAGCTCTCCTTGAGCCATCAAGTGTTTCTTCTCATTAAGCTCACAATTGTAAATATAAGGGTGATTTAAATTTCACTCTCTAATGTTTATCTTTAGACAAGTTGGTCTCGTAAACCATACTTTGGAAACCACTGCTTAGTTTTTTGGTGTCCTTTTCTTTGGGGCTTGGGCTTTGTTCATTTCTGTGCTTTTTGCATTCTGGAATAGCAGAATGAGAGCAGCTACTGATGGTTACCCATGTCCATGTTGCTGAAATAAAACGAAGTGGTGGGGGAAAAAAAGGTTATTGTGAAATTAATAGAACACAAGAAAGCTTTCAAAATTGACTATGTACATAAATATAGAAACATAAAAGGCAAGTTCAAGGTCTTTCTTCCCCTGTCAAATCCATGGGGAAAGGAACAGGGGTGGAAAGAACCTTCCCTGTTTGCACCTTTACAAAGCGGCCATGCACAATGCCAGCAGTGTGCACAGGCAGCAGCCTGAGTCCTCTGAGGAGCAGCAAAGTGAGACCTGCACTGAGCAAAGCCATGGCAGAGCCGCCCAGGTGGCAGAGCTGGCATCCCCACAGCACGGTGCTCAGTGTCCTAGCCAAGTAAGGTACAGCTCTTCTTGCGAACAGGAGGGTGCTTTCATCTTATAATATAATGCAATGCAAAGATGCAAATTCATGTTGAATCCAACTCTTAAGTATATCTCATTTCATGAATGCTTCAAAAGCATTCTAGCCTTAAAACAAGACATAGAAAAATAGGGGCGGGAGAGGGAGAGTCCTGATTTTAAGTATTGTTACTTTGAAAATGATAACTAAAAATAAAAAAGTCACCACACAAATGCTTTCTTCTTCCTTTGTTAAATTTTTGTACAATGAAAATACCTGCTTTTTTTTTTCCCTTTCTTGGGGTGTGTGTGTGTTTGTCTACATAGTCGTCCCTTTCAAGCCCTGATTTCTTCGACTCACCAAGTCCTGAAGAAGAGAAGGAAGAACACGTTTCTATTGCACACAAAACTATTGACGTGTCAAGGAAATCAAGAACTGTTACAATATCACAAGTAAGTTAATTGGAATATCTCTGCTTAACCTTATCACATACGTCTTCGTTTTCTGAAAACAGTATTCAAATATTTATTTTTAAAATTTAATACAACAATCACCTGGTAACTGGCCCTTTAAAGAAGCTTAAAAGGGTAAGGTTTACTAAAGATTGTTCTGTGTTTAAAATGCAAGTCTAAAGTGAATTGCACAGTTAAAATGTCTCCATAACCATCCTGTGAAAAAATCATTCTAGTGTTGTAAATACATTTCACAGAATCGGAGAAGCTAGGGAAATAAATTTTAGAAACAAAGGCCTTTTCTTGCAGCTGTAAATTGAGTGTATGTTAGAAGATTCTGTGAGCAAGAAAATACAACTCTTTGAGCCACTGTAATAGTATGTGAATTTAAATTTGCAAGTATCATAACTTTTTACACTGGTATAATTGTATTCATTTTTTAGGCTTGTGCCATTCTTACTCTATATTGGTAGAAAACTAGAATAATCAAATACTACAGAAGGAGTATGTAGATCAGGCTTTAGAGGTTGGAGCTATTTTTTTAGTATATAAAGATACGTTTAATAATACAAATACTACATTCTAGTTGTCTAACAAAAGTATTTGAAAGATGAAGTCATGCACTTCGGAGGTCGAGTTATAAGGATAATGTTTTGCTATATAGCTCCCTCTTCTGGGAGCACTTGCATTAAGGAATGCACTTGGGCCAACATTCAAAATTATATGCTGGTATGCCAAGGATGTAGATGTTGTTCCTGTAAAACAAGATGACTGCTATCGGAAAGTAGCTGCTTGAGGCTTTAATGTTGATATCCAGTTAAGCTCTGGAATAAGGTGTTTGGTGTGGATAACTCCAGTTGTGTCTTGGTCACTTGCTCCAGGTTTGAACTCAGCCTGACATCTCTTTCAGTCCAAAGGAAACTTGCGCCTGCTGATATAGAGTATTATCCATGAAAGATCCATTTATAGGTACACATTACTCAGATATGAATACACACACACACACATATATATATATATATAAAAAATATGAAGAGAATATTGTTAAGGTCATGAAGTCAAGCATTCAAGCCACTGGAGTGATTCAGCTTTCTTGTGATTATAGCACCATTTTTATTTCTATGGTCACACTGTTTTTTTCTGTAGAACACTTTTTTTATGTGGTGGTTGCCCAGAACAGGTTCTGTGCTCAGTCACGCTCGTGTGGTGGGGAAGACTGTTTTTTGCAGAACTCGGTGGATCCTGCTCTTCCCTCCCCATCACACTTTCTCCTAATTTTCATCTGACCACTAACTTGTCTCTCAGTTACTTTGTCCAGCTAATGCCACCACCCCAGTCCCCAAGTCCTCACTTACAATGTCTCCTTCCATTTCCATGCTATTTTTTCTCAATATCTTACCCTAATTGCCATTCAACTTCACTATCTCTTTTCCAAAGATGAGTTGGAGCGTTTGCTAGGCCTTTTTTCTTACTGTTGGACTAAACAGATTTTCAGATACTCCTGGTAGCTGTCATATAGGTCTGAGATCTTGGAAATGCTTGTTGCTGACTGGTTGTAGCAATTGTGGAAAGTCTGACTGAAACTGTCTGAAATTCTGCATCTCATCTAGAGCCCCTCTGATGTACATGTACAAAGTTAATGACTAATTGTTATTCTTATCATGCTTTGGCCAAAACTGTCAATGTTTGACTACGGACTTTCAAGATTACTGAAGACCAGCAAAATACTTAATATTTGTTAGAGGTTTGATTTTCATAAAGCTGTCTCCAGACATTAAATGTTACTCTTTTTGTTGCAGGTGTCTGATAATAAAACATCCTTGCCTCCAAAGCCAGGAGGTTTGGCTAGTGGCAGTAACGTACAACCATCACTATCCCCTTCACCATCACCTGGATTTCACTCGATTGCTATGGGAACAACAGGCCACAGGTCAAATTCCCCATCCCTGTTCGGTACTGAAGGAAAGCCAAAGACTGAGCACTTGAGCCAAGGTCAGACTGCCCTGGAGGAGCTGAGAACACAAATTAAGGAGCTAAGAACCATCATTGAAACCATGAAAGACCAGCAAAAGTAAGTTCTGCATATCACAACTGTAGGTGGGATGCATCCGTTCATGCATGGTGGTGGCAGTTTCTTCTTGAGCTTGCCTTCATGTATGTTACTCGACACAGTTTGCCTTTGTGTTTGTGTGTGATTTTTGTCTGCTTTCCTGACAGAACACATTCAGGGGTGAGAAGGTCAGTAAAAAAGACTGGCACTATCCAGCTTTTTTTTCCTGTGTTATGACATAACCAGATGTTTATAGGGTGTAATCAGTGAATAAGGTTCTTATGTTGTTTTATTTGCCAGTAACTATTTGGGAACTTGTATGCATTGATCTAGTTGTATGCATTTGTTCTAGTTGTAGTACAAATTACTACAAGTTCCTCAAATTATTAAATCAATTTGTTGTTTAACTGTTAAGGCATTTTTCCAGGAAGCTCATATTACAAAAGAAGTAATTGAATTGTGATTAGGACATTTGAAGACCTTTGTGTTTATGACCCTGAATCTTACTATTTTAGCGTGGAGCATCTTTATTTTCTTTAAGCTGCTCTTTCTTTAAGCTGCTTTTAGGAGAAACTGGGGCTGGCATGTAGCTTTTGCTATTCCTGAGAATATTTAATATTTTGGAAGCTAAACATTCACTTACGTTGTCAGTTGCGTGTAGCCCAGGCAGGAAAAAGAAAAGGGAAAGCGGCGTGGAGAGACTGTGGCAGAACAGAGGTGTGTGAGGAGTTTGGGTGACGATGGGCATGGTTCCAGCTGGATCTAGCCAGCGAGCACCACTGCTTTGCCTCTTAGGCTGACCCCTGCTTCTCTAGTCTCCCCAGCCCTTCTTGCACGGGCTGCTTCTGCCTTCTGGTTTCTGTCTTAAGGTGAGATCACTCAGTGGGAACATGAGAAGGTGTCTTCTCCTTATACCTATGTTCCCCTTCCCGACAAAGAAGTATGACAGCAAATCCAGATTTGGGATCATTGCCTTATAAATGAAGTTGAAGGTTACATTGTGTTGCTGGCATAAACAGCTTTTCAGTGGCTAAAGTATGTGGATAGCATGGGCAGGATTTGTGTTACCAGTTGCTATAACCCACCAACAACCAATCCATCTACATTTTGTATGGAAAAAAGGGCAACTGTGTGCTGATACAGTGTTGATACATCTAGTCCAGAGCAAAGCCTGTGGATTCAGGGCTGTTAGGAGGAAATGTATTATTCGTTAGCCATACGGGGAGGAGGGGCTGTCCTTATATAGAAAGTCTTGCTTCTCTGTAGTATAGCATATAGTATACGAGAGTATGCTGACTTTAATTAGTTGTTCGGAGGAAAAAGGGTAACTAGTGAAGCAGGGACAATATGTCTCCAAGAGGTGATGTTTTAAATTTCACTAGCGTAATCGTTTCCATTCCAAGCTTTTTTTGCATTCTTTTAACAGAAAAGAGATTAAACAGTTGCTGTCTGAGTTGGATGAAGAAAAGAAGATCCGTCTACGATTGCAGGTATTTAAATTATTTATAATGTTACGGAATATTGGCAGGTTTGATTTAGCCGCAGGTATGGGACATGAAAGTCTGCTAAGATACCTAGCTTGCAGTGAATCAAAAACTACTAACATTTCTGAAAGGGATATACCTGTTCCCTTCATAGCGTTGCCAGTCTGTGTCATATATATTGCAATACTGGGTTCTTACTGAAAAGCCTGATAATTATCTAAAAATTTATCAGCACAAGTAGACAAATGAAAGAAAAAAAATAAACATAATATAGGAGTCAAACTATGATATTCTTTAGTCCCAGTTTTAATGGTTTGATTTTGTTGCAAATGAAATCATGTCTTTTTAAATTATTTGCTCTCTCCCAAAACGTTATATTTTGTAGTAGACTTGTCTTAGTGTTGATATGCTTAGAATATGATTTCTCATAGCAAGATTTTTATGTCTGCTTTACAGACTATACTCAGGTTGGCTTTACCAAAGCATCCTAAACAATGTAAAAGAAGGTGTTCTGACTAAGAGCCCAGTTACTGCTACCATAGTTTGTATAGTACCTTAGCTCCAGATGTTGTCGTGCTGACTTAGTCATTTGCCAGGTAGCACACTGCCCTATTTGTGTGAGAGCTGGACCTTTGCTCGGATCATTGACTGTGCTGCTTCGATATGGAATGACATTGAAACTGCTTTTCTGGGTGTTGGAGGGCTATTTGTATAATGCCTTTAATAACATGCCTTAACTTGGTCAGCTCTGAATTGGTCAGGCAGTTGGACTATATGATCGTTGTAGGGCCCTTCCAATTGAAATAGGCTAGTCCTATTCTATTCCTTTCTTTTCTTTTCTTTTCTTTTCTTTTCTTTTCTTTTCTTTTCTTTTCTTTTCTTTTCTTTTCTTTTCTTTTCTTTTCTTTTCTTTTCTTTTCCTTTCTTTTCTTTTCCTTTCTTTTCTTTTCTTTTCTTTTCTTTTCTTTTCTTTTCTTTTTTCTTTTCTTTTCTTTTCTTTTCTTTTCCTTTCTTTTCTTTTCCTTTCTTTTCTTTTCCTTTCTTTTCTTTTCTTTTCTTTTCTTTTCTTTTCTTTTCTTTTCTTTTCTTTTCTTTTCTTTTCTTTTCTTTTTCTATTCTATGTACTTGATAAATGGTTTAGTATTGATTATATTTTATATTTTCATGGTATAGGTCAACCGTATTTGTAATTTGTACTAGGGTTAGAAAATCGAATTGTAATTTCACTGGGCTGTTCCTGCTCAGTAAAGTGCTTGCAAACATGGCAACGGGTGGCAGAACTGGGGTCCATCAATGTCTGTGCTCCAGGGCTGCCTCAAGGACTTCATGCGTGCAACCACATAGGAGTATGGCTTCTAGTAACACAAAATTCATTTTCAGCTAAAATTTAAATTTATTCAGATAAAATCAATGAACATTTTTAATAGTGGTTATTGATCAGGCCAGACTATTCAAGGATGGCTTTATGTCTTCATACAGAGACCTGCATTGATGATTTTAAAATTATGATCTTATAGCTGAATGCTTTTACTCCAGTTCAAACGTTGCTTATACTGGTAAATGTTCAGATGCTAACCAAGGTGGCATCATTACCTTTATATGAAGACGAGAGTTCAACACACAAAAGATGCATTAGTTTAAGAGTGCTCTGATAGTTATAAAGGAGCACAGCTCCCAGTCCCTGTATTAAAGAAGACTGCCTTGAAGATATGGCGCAGTTGAGCGCTGCGGGTGTGTTTGAATAAGCCTAATACCCCTGCCTCAGTGTTTCCAGTGTCTGCCAGAGGAGCCAAGTGTACAACTAGGCCTGATGATGGTTTCAGCCACATCCTTTCACCACACAACTGTACGTCCATCAGAGCCCTTAAGGTGCCTGGACGCAGGCTTGTCAGGCGTGCAGAAGGCAACTGCCTTCCCTACAGCAAAAGCCATCCCTATAGGGAGAGACTATAGGTTTTGCTCCTCAGCGGCCAGTGTTCATTGTCAGCAGTTCGGCTGACTTCTGCCAGGTGTAAGTGCAGCAGCTGGTACAGGTACACAGTGCTCATTCTGCAAGTAATTCCTGCCTGGCTTGTAAAAGTTGTAGTTTAAAGAGTTTGGAAGGTCTTGCAGTACATTCAATGACTATACTTGTCAAGCTCTGAGGGGAGGCAGCTGTGAGTGGTCATCTTATGCAGCTGAGAAGGTCACCTCAATTTGTGAAATCTGTGGAAATAAGAGTAGCATAAAACCCATACTCGACACCTGTGGACAAGATGGAACGTGTGCTTTTCAAGCCACACCAGCTGTGCCTCAGTTTGTTAAAGCATCTAATTTCATCACCAATATTTTTCTTTTCTTTTCAGATGGAAGTTAATGACATAAAGAAAGCTCTTCAATCAAAGTGAATACTTGATAGGTGGAATGTTGCATTATTCTTCATGACTGAGACTCAAAATTATGCCCCAGCCAAAATAACTTTGTGCCAAATGATTTAAGAATTGCCTCAGCATCCCTTTATTTGAAGGATTAGCACAACAGTTGATAGCACAACAAAAATACCAACAATGAGGACAAAATTTCCACCCGAAGCAGTGCTGTGCGGCACTAGTTGTGACTGAAATTGATCTTCTTGTGCTAAAGGCTCTCTACTTCAAGATCCTAGGTGAAATGAAAACTCAGGCAGTTTAGTCCATAGTGGTACTATTTTGATGATATTTTTCCATAAATAAAGTGTATTTCAGATTATCTGTTTACAAGCTTTATGATTTTGACTTTTGGTTTTTAATTGTCTTTTGTCACAGATTTTAAAATGTTTGTACTGCATATAGCCAGGAATGAATGTTAACGTTGGGGCTGGAGGGATTATTTTTGCTTCGAGATAGAACAGCCTACTTTTTGTTATGGTTTTAAGTTCTGTTAAATATGCAATTTTATGTCCCCAAATCCCCTACAGTTTAAACTTACTTTGTGTACAGTAATGTATTTACAAGAAGGAAACAAACCAACAGAAATCTGGTCTTTGCAATGATTTGTGCCTTTCTTTGCCACACACTGACTGGAGCCGGTTGCAAGCCAGGTCTCCCTAATGTAGCTACCATGACGACTCCTGTCCCCGGTGTCCGGCGGAGGTCACCTTCTCAGTGTACAGCTGCTCAGTCAGTAGAGCCAGGTTTGTGTGAGGTGGCAGGACAAAAGGGCGCAGCTGGGAGCAGCTTTGTCTTGAGCAGCTGTGGCTTTTTAGCTTTCCTGGTTTTGATAGGCCTCTCCCTCAACTTGAATGTTCATCTCCGCTTGATTTTCATTAGATGATTTAAACGCCCGCCTCTGTCCCCAACTTTGCACAGAGTGAACAGAATATGCATTATTAAAGCAAAAATAAATAAAAGTAATCTATAAAACATGAATAAAAAGTTGTATTATTTCATGCACAAGGTTCTCTATCGTGTGACATTGTTTCATTTGCTGTTTATGTGGAATTGTTTGCCACATTATCTTGTACACTTACAGACTGATACACTTTATAGTCCTGTTTTTGCAGCAGGACTTGCTCTTCATCATTTTATTGAACCTGATGCTTAATTCATTTCTTCCAGTTTCTTTGTTTGCTTTCATCCTTTCAAAATAAGGTCTCTCATTTTTCTGGTTGTGGTTTTGTGTGTTCTTTACTTGCAGCAGAGTATCTATCTTGTACCTTGTCAGCAATCTCCGTTAAAGCATTTAAATAATGGATATTTGCACAGCGTGGAGTGAGTGGGTGAGTGATATTGGTGATGCTTCAGAGTGACAAAAAAAACCCACACAAAGGATCTATTTGTCATCTCATCAAATGCTAGAGCTGGCTTCAGCCAGCATACCCTGTATCACAGCTAACCACCCTGCCTGCCAGGAGCTGGATGAGATGTAGTGTTCGGCTGGCTTGTCACGTTCACACATGGTTGGCAGAGTTCCCACAATCTTTTTGATATGCATGGATATATAAAATACACACTCCACCGTACCCGAATCTTGCTTTATGGGTCTCAGCTGCAATACAGAACCTCACTGCTGGGATGGTTTCCTCTACCATAGCATTTGCTTCTGTTGTAACAGTGGTGTCTGAAATTGAAGGGTCAGATAGTGAAACTTGAGAATTTTTTTAAGGTCCCAATACATAGCTCAATGTACTCAAACACAGCCCTAATAAAATATTTTATCACTGAAATGTTCTTATTTAACATTTCTAAATGACTGCATTAAAATATTTTTGTACGAGGAATGATAGTCCCACCATAGCTTGCCAGCAATAAAGATTTCTAGATTACTTCCATGTTTTTTCTGAAGGTAGTAGAAGAGTTAGGAGAACAGGAGAAAATGAGGTATAAGGAATAAGAATTCTGTTTGGGTTTGTAGTCATACATTTGCAACCTGTATCCAGAAATGAGCAGCTCTGGTCTCCTAATTGCATCCCTGGAAAGAGATAAACTATTGTATCTGTGGTAAATAAAGTATTGATTCCTGAGTTGTGACACAGAAATATGAGACATTGCAGAAATGTTCCATTTTTTGCAAATGAAAGTAAATTTGGCACAGTTACCTTATGTTACATTACATTCTTTTTTTTCTCCTGTTGAGATGATAACTTGTCATTTTATAAATCAAGTTAGAAGTCCAACATACCATGTTTTGTAAAAGAATGTCAAATAAGATTTTGTGAAAATGCTTTGTTTTGAAAGTTGATTATTCTGGAAGAAGAGATTTTGTAGAAATACAAGCTCTTCTTGCTGCGTTTCGTTATAATAACAGACAGTATTTCACATAACACATGGATTTCCCCTTTTTAAAGAGGATCAATCGTGCATTAAACCTGTGGATATAAACTGCTGCTTTTAAAAATGTTTGGGTTTATATTTAAAGGAAAATGGGAAATGCTGGTGAGCTACAAAGTGATTTTGATGTGAAAATGATTAAATACTGTTGTTTGAAGAGTTGTGTAAAATGACTTTTCATTAATGTGCACACACCGGTCGTGGCAGACTTCTGCCTATGCATAGAAGTCAGGTGTGAAACATCAGGCTCATTCCTTTGGATGATAATATTCAAATTCTTGATTTGGAAAATTTTGAGGTTATTAAGAAAACAGTTTTATATTCTCTTTATGTTCTTCTTTTCAACTCTAAAAGGAGCAAGTATTTCTTAATGCGAGGTCATAGCACTTAGGACTTAAAACAGTTCTACATGGAAATAAGATGGTAAATGTTCAAAGTGTTTATTAAGTTTTGTTACTTAAATTTCATTTTCTGTGTTTTTCTTATTAACAATCCATTTGTAAATGAGCAAAAGGGTTAGATGAATCTGTTCTTGTGCTAACAGGTCAAAGGATTGAACACAACTATATGCAGTACATTTTTGTTTCTAGGTGTATGATAGCCAGCTGCTCAGTAAATATTGTGAGCTACTCTGTGTATGAAATGTCCATGGGAGTGACATACTCTGTGACAGCCAGGACTGAAATTTGCACCTGTGCAAGCAAGGTGAGAGAGAGAGCGCTGTCAAACACCCTCAGAAATTCACGTTCTGGTGAAGTTACAGAATCGTTTCACTCATCTTGTTGTGGAGTTGACACGTGTGAGCAGACCCCACTCTCCCCCTGCCCACCCTCCTCAACAGGTTCCTCAGCCGTGGAGGTGGCTGCCCCGGTGTTACCAGCTCCTCTGCACAGTGCCCTGTGTGTGGGGTCAGTGCCGGCCCAAAAATACATTTGCTGCCACAGGGCTGGCGTGGCGTGAAAATGTCGTGTGTTCCTATGAACTCCTCGGCTATGCCACATTGCGGTCATAACTGTGCTGGCAGCTCCACACACTTCTTGCCTTGTTTTGGGGCTGTTATGCTCCTGTGGGCCTGCCTCGGGATCTGGCTGTGGTCAGGGGGGCTGCAGTTTGTGGGTCCCACAAATACCAAAGCACCAGAAGACAGAATAGGGCTGGGGTGGGGGTGATGTGCAGCTCTCCCGCCTGCAGGAATGGCCGGTCAGCAGCATCTGCTGCAGTGCGAGGCCGGGAAGAGGTGTGAGGTCTCTGGTGTCCGCTTCTCCTCTGAAGAAAGGACCCCAGGGCTGGAAACAGGACAGAGGCGCATTGATGAGGAAAGTATGAAGGTTGGGTAGAGAGAAGATACTTTTCACGCAGGCGGGCTGTGGTTTGAAAGGCAGGCAGGAATACCACTTAAAAGTAGGAACAACCAACCACTCTGCAACCTGTGCACTGAGGCGCCTTTTCAGCCGTGTGGGGTGGCAGTGCTGCTGGGCAGCTGCGGTTCCTGCAGGCTTCTGTAGGGAGAGTCTTCCAAGCATTGACTTCTGTCCAGGGCAATCATTAGGTCAAAAAGAGCCAGAGAGGGTGGAGCTGAACTCCCCACAGTAAACACCGGGTGCTTGTATCCAGGGTTATTAACACCCTCCAGCCAGAAATTAGATTTTGCTTGGCAAATTTGGCCTCAGCTGACTCTTGAGCTGGCCTAGGCATCAGCAGCCGGTTGCCTGCGCCCCGGCCCATTCACTCTGAGCTTCCTGCAGCTGCTTCCCTCCTCCTGCCACTCCGCTCCGGCCCTTCTCTGCCTTTGGAAAATAACCAACTTCCTTAGGTCATTGTCAGCCCTGAAGCTGAGGGGCTGCCGGGGCTTCCCAGCCTGAAATAGAGTAGCTGAGGAAGGAAAAGACACTTTTGCAATGTCCGCAGGAAGCTGTGGTGCTCTGTGTGTGTGTCTGTGTGTCACTGGTGCCCGGCAGGCCAGAGCTCCGGGTCACCCTCCCCTCCGCTTTCTCCTCAGGCAAATGAAGGTTATCAGACCCGCTCAACACACTGTTGTTTGGTGTCAGCTCTTTTAATGAGGATGATTTCCAATCCCGTGCAGGCACAGACTTTTTACAGGTAGTGGGTGTAAACCACTGGTAGCCTCAGGAAAAGATGCTTGAGAGGCTTTGTTCTGCCACAGTCAGGCTTTTCTTGAATCAGCGACACAGCTGAGTTTCCCTTTTCAGTGCTCACAGTTCCACTATTAGACAGTGTGGGGGTCTGGAGAGCAAATAGCTAACCTAACAAAATGGCTTAATGCTCTTGTGCATTTTTTTTAAAGTATTAGAAATATAATCCTATTTTTAAAATGTGTTAGTACTATAGGATGAAAAAGTTAAGATTTAAATTAATTTTGTTGAAATTATTACCCTACAAACTGGAGCGCTATCTTAGCGTATTTTAGCATTAACTATAATTCTAGACAGATCTCTAGAACCATGAGAATAATTGCTCTGACACGTTGTAAAGGTTACAACAGGGAGGCAGGGCCTAACAATCTCTCTCAGCCCCTCAGATAAGTAGGTTTCACGCTCTCTTATCTTCCTTTTTTTAATGCAGGAAAAGCAACTGGAGAACGTATATGATGATAGTCACAGGAAAACATAATTGGCTTTTACTAGTACAGTCTTCAAAGTTGTAATAGGCTGTTTGTCTTGGAGGAGAAAACTTCAAGTTTAGAACAACAAAGCAAATTAGGTAAGAATGGCCAGGCTTCACAAGCAATTTTGAATATCAGAACATTAAAGAAGTACCAGTTTTCAAAACTTTCTCTGGTAAAACCCCTTCACTTCACTGTTCCCAGACCTGACATTTTCACTTGTTGCAGGAGATCATTTTCCTCACTATGACAGGCCCTTCCCTGTCTGCTTCATCCCAGCTAGTCAACGGCAAACATGCTTCCCCAAGGGACCCATCAGGCTGCTCTTCACCTCCTTGGATAAGAGCAAAGAAATGGTTGGGATTTTGTGAGAGCACTTTTGGGGCTCTTCTTAGAGGTAGTGAAAATTAATCTGGGCAGCTATCCCTGCTACAGGATGACCCGTCACCTGGGTTTACCCCCTTCTGGGGATGGTTTTCATGGAGAAGGGCACAAGTGCAGGAGATGGCACAGCTCACACAATCTGTGCACCATGCTCTTTGTCCTAGCACAAAGCACCAAAAAGCAGAACAACAGCTAAGAAAGGATAAGTAGAAAAGT